ACAGAAAAACATGATTTCTGAGAATATGGTTTATGTAATGCAGACGATAAAACTGTTGACATGAAATTATTTGCACATTAGAAAGACTGGGAAAAATGTGTTTGGCCAAAGAATATCAAACTCAATCTGGAAGATGGAGGAAACCCAGAATAAGATTTAAGTGAGAAAGTAACTTTAAGGGCTTATTAACCCACCAGTGAAAATCAGGAATCAGTTTATAAAATGCACAGCATTCATTGTTTATATACTAATGAATAGAATAACAGAATTGTAAGGGACCTTGGAGATCTAGCCCAACCCCCTGCTCAGGCAGGAAACCCTATACCATTTCAGAAAAATGGCTGTCCAAACGGTTCTTAAAAATCTCCAGTGTTAGAGCACCCAGAACTAGTGGAGGCAACTCATTCCACTGATTAATTGCTCTCACTGTCAGGAAATTTCCCCTTAGTGTCCTAGGCTGGTTCTCTCCTTGATTAGTTTCCATTCATTGCTTCTTGTCCTGCCTTCAAGTGTTTTGGGGAATAGATTGGCCCCCTCTTCCTTGCATGAGGGAGTCAATGCACAGAGCATTGAAAAGAAAATGATGTTTAACTCATGTTAAAGAAAGACCAATGTGATTTAGTAGGTGTAATTTAGGGGCAGTGATACATTTTGACTGGATTTCAACAACTGTAGGGTAGAATTTATTCAAAAGGAACAAAAAATAAAAGGAGGCTGACTTGCATTTTTGGTTAAAATGCCCATGTCTGCACAGAAAATCAAGGATGCTAACTTGGAATTAATTTGAGTTGAAATAAGCAGGAGGAGGAATAAAGGCAGGTCTGTTGTTGATGTCTACAACTCTCTCCCACTTTTGCGGTGAAGTTGTGCACAATGCTTTCCAAAAGCAAACGATTGAGCATTTGTAGAAAGGTAGATGTTAGTGGAATGTTAAGACAGACTTATAAAAAAAAAAAAAAAAAGCTAAGAGCAGTGATAAGAGGAACCAAACAACTAAGGAGGAGTGAACTCCCCTTTCTTTGGTACATCCAAGGATATATCAAACCACTGTTTCTCAACCTTGGCAACGTTAAGATGTGTTGAAGTCCACACATCTTAGCATTGCTAAGGTTGAGAAATGCTGGCTTAGCCATTTATAAGGGATGCTGTAATTTGATTCCTGCATTGGGAAGCAGGGTGGATTTTATGGCATAAGTACTGCAAGTCCCTTCCAATTTTGTGATCCTATTAGCCTCACCAGTTTGATCTTTGGTAAATAGTAGTTACTGGTTGTGCCATCATTTGTATGCAGCACTCATTTCTCACACTCAAAATTTCAAAAGGGCCACTAACCTGAAAAACCTAAGGAATCCATAATAAACCATGATCTAACAAGCCACTGTTCAACATGATACGTTTATCAAATCACAATATAATTTGAACAAATTACTGTGTTACGGCTTCTTAATTATTTGTGTAAGTTTGGTTGCTATATATATATCAGCTATATTGTTGTACAATAAAATTTACAACCCT